GTCCTTCCCAAGGACTTGGGATAGGCAGGTGTTGTTTGATGGTATTAAAGGTATCGTTGCAGGATGGAAGCTTTTCCAAGTAAAGCTGCCTTTTGCAACTGACTGATGGTGATTTTGTCAATGCCAATGGTGTTCAAGTGTTGCCCCAGATTATTATTATCGTTATTATTATTATTCCCCTCCAGATCAAAGCTGAAGACTCTACAGAAATGCCTCCAGCCCCAGCCCCAGCCCCAGCCCCAGCTCCAGCCCCCCAAGCTCAGCAGCCACACCTACCCCAGGCTCAGCTTATGTTAGCAGGCAGCCAGCTTGCTGGGGTAAGTACAGGAGGCAGTTTCTGCAGTTCCGCAGAAGCAACTTTGGGGTGAAGTGAGGTGAGGTGGAACAGAAAGATCATGTTTCTGGGACTGAAACCTCTTGAATTATTTCTACCCTGAGTATTGCAATCAAAGGTTGAAGAAAGCAGAGGAGGGAGGTTGCCATCCATGCTGGCAAGATCAGACATTCCCTGTAGGGTCAGATCATAAAATATGTGCAACAAACCTATTCTCCTAAATGGAGAATCTCTATGCTGAGCATATTTAAATAGTTTATTGTATCTATACCTTACTTATATAAATGTTTATTTATATAGAAACCTCTTAGATGTAATAATTTAAAAAGCCATGTGTGTTAAGGTCAGTGTAACCTTGACTTGGGAATGTTGTTGAAACTTGCTGCATTCCTAATATTTCAAAATATTGATTTTGGGATAATATTTTATTTTCTTGATTTATTCAGTTTACACCCTGCATTTCTGCTAAGCATTAACATCTGAATTTTGAGTACATGAACAAAATAGTCTTGTTCTTGCACATCAAAAGCACCTTTTCCATGTCAGACTCTGGCTGAACTATTGGGTGATCCAAAAAAGTAAAGAAACAGCAAGTAGGGCTTATTGGTATTTTGGTGCTACTATTTTATTTCTATTTTGATGGATTATGGCTGTGTGGGCAAGCAGATGATGACTGTAAGATGGTAGGTGGGAGATAGCTGGAGAGAACTTTGTTTGGAGTCCCTGGAGTTCTGCAGTCAACCTTTCCCAGTATGGTGGCATCTCAGGGCTGCAAGAACAGCACAACCAGGTGCCATGGGAGTGGTAGTCTCAAAACAGATGGTCTATATTAGATTGGGAAAGGCTGACGGAAGCTACAAAATTAAGGAAAGGAAATGGGTAGTTTGAAGCCCCACTCTCTCTTCAGTTGTGCATGTCAAGGATCTTCTGTGATGGATAGAGGCTGGGGAAGAAGATGGAGATCTCTCAGCCTCTGCCACAAAGGTGGTTAGAGAAGGAGCTCTAACCCCACCCTGCATAGTAAAACTCTGCTGATGCTTCCCTCTTATCAGCAACCCACTCCATCCCCCCTGTGCCTTTTCCAGTGGACAAAGAGAAATCCAACAGGTGTACCTTTTCCTGAACCTCCACACATGAGAATAAGCAACACACCCTCTTCTCTCCCACTTGGCCAAGTTCTCCATGTTGTGTGTGAGGCCAGCCTCTGTCAGGAGAAGAATTGCATGGCTGTCTACTTGAGAAAGTTTCTGGCTCTTTGCTGAGGGCAGGGAATGTAGTTGACTAACTTGCTTCTTCCTTCTCTCTGATTTATCCTCTTTGTCTTCCTTCCTTCCTTCCTTCCTTCCTTCCTTCCTTCCTTCCTTCCTTCCTTCC